AAAATTCTTTTCTCCATGAATCTATAGTTTTAAAGCTTTGGATATCGTCAACAGCAAATGTTAGCAAACAAATGTCAGTTCCTCTATAAAAAGGTGTTCGAAGAGTTCGAAATCTTTCTTGTCCCGCAGTATCCCAAATCTATATAATTTTAAATTATGTACTAAACTATATTTAAATTTTAAATAAAATACTTTACAACAAATTTGTTCTAACCATACCTGCAAAGTATATACAATTCCATTGACATCAAGTTCCTTTTGGAGAAATTCTACGCCCAATGTATGAAGTGTATGGTCACTAAAACTGTTACTTACAAACCTGTTCATCAGACATGATTTTCCAACATTACTATTTCCCAAAATGACTACTTTCAATATTGGGTTTTGTTTAACTAAAATCGTTTTATCTTTCATACCGAAATAAAACTAAAATAAAACTATAATATCATGTGACACTAAATAAATGTATCATACTTGTATTTCAATTATAATTAATTCAATAATTTGATAGTTAATAAAAACAGACTAAATTTATTTCAGAACTCTGGAATACTCAATGGTTCAGTCTTYGGTGGTATCAATTTAAAAAATAAAAGATGTTATTACATATATTATATATTACATATGTTATTAAATATTATGACCATTTTATAAATATATATAAACATATTGTTCTGTGATATATTAGAACACAAGTGATAAGAAAATTATCAATCACCAATATTAAAATTACACCATCCAAGGTGGATTGATATATATGTATATCAATCCACCTTGACACTATCATTAGACTAGATTGTAATGTGATAATCATAGATAGTTGTACATATCTATGGTGATAATAGATAATATTAGCCTTACCCATGTCGTACCATGATTATAAAATAAATAATAATTAAAAATTTAAATATTATAAATCAAGATATCGTTTATTGTTTATAAGTTATAACCTTMTAGAATACTCTTAGGTTTTCTCTACATCGTGGGATGCGGGATACACGGCAAATTATAGCAGGCTTATATTATATATAATATATTATACATTGCCATAATTCCATCAAATTTCAGCAGGTGCAAAACTTTTATCAGCCCGATAATCATAATAACAAATTAAGTCATATTTAAAGTTAATCGCTTTGTTAAAACCTTTACACTACCTAATATATTAATTTTTCTGTTGGTATAGGCTATATTATGTATTTATGTGCAACAATGGCTTGTTGGTACCTATAATTAACCT